CCTGGTTGAAGACTGTGAAAACATCTAGCAACCCGTGAAATAAAGGATTATTTTTCTTGTAAGATGTTGACTGTTTTATGGATGGCTAGAAAAGCTGGAATATGTTGCATCTTTCCAGTTCATGTATGTAATAACTTTATGGCAAAAACTGAACAAAGTTTTGCTCATGCACTTTGGTGATCTCAAACAATTAACAGAGCTGAAAAAATATTCTTGTGGTTTCCCTTTTCTATAATAGGGGAAAAAAAGTTTTTCAAACCACCCGTCACAAAGATAGTTTCTTTAATTTTTTACCATCTCCACTCTCCTAATCTGTTTTTTTTCCGTCAGCCTTGTTAAATTTCATTGCTATGCTTTAATTCCTGTAAGGAACACAGACCAACTGTTAATTCCTGTCTATACAAATTAAGCTTTTTTTTCCTCAAGCTTGCTCTTCTGGGATGACCAACTGCACTCTTGACACAAACAGACCACACAACAGTGACTCCTAGTAGTAGGTTTTCCAGCTTTATTAAAAAGCTCAAGCTTGCTCTTCTGGGATGACCAATGTGGAGCAGTAAAAAGTAATGACTGCACTCTTGACACAAACAGACCAGCACAACAGTGACTCCTAGTAGTAGGTTTTCCAGCTTTATTAAAAAGGGCAAACATTACCAGCAATGGATATAAAATATACATAGCAGAGGTCTGACAGGTGGTACTGCTCAGTGTATCCCCTTCCTTGGTCTTCTCCCAGTTCAGAGGTACATTACACAACTCTCACGGCCTGGGGGGGCGCATGCCAGGTGGAGGGGGTCCTGGGAACAAAGGAAAGAGTTGAAGAGAAAAGAAGCAGCAGCACTAAACAAAAAAGACATTTCCCACATGCTCAAAATAGCCATTGGACCCCTTTTTGGCACCAAAGCACTTACGACAAACAGCAGAGCTAGGGAGACACTGGAATGCATCACCCTTCAAACATTTTATTACAGCTTCTCAGAGCCCCGTGGCAGCTGGGATAGCTCTGCTCACCTCTCATTCCTGGGGGTGGTGGTCTCATGCCTGGGGGAGGCATTCCCATCGGAGCCCCTCGGCCAGGTGGCATTCCCATGGGTGGGCCCATTGGTGGTCTCATGCCTGGAGGAGGTCCCATCATTCCTTAAGCCAGAAAAAAAACAAGCATGTAAATCCAGCTAGGATTCAAGGCACTAGCTGGGTATCAGGATGTTTCCCACAGTACCAGATTTTCATCAGAAAAGTTTCATTACCAATTTTGCAATAAAACATGAGCTCTCCAGAGTAATTCCTACCTGGAGGAGGGGCTCCTCTGCTCATGGGTGGGGGAGGACCCCCACGCCCTGGTGTGTACTGAGTTGGGGCTCCTGCTATGCTGGCAGTGGCTGCTGCAGCAGCAGCTGCAACTGTTCCACGACCCTGGGGTGTCATCACCTGTAGACAAAACAAATAGACTCAGAAAAAATAGCACCTGCTTTATCATAATAACGAAAAAAATCACATTGATATTCCCCTTCAGAAAGTTACACCAGTCTTCTCTTAACTTACTAAATAATACTACAGCCTGTAATACAAGTCAATGGATGCCACTTGAATTATGTGTGAAAAGCTGCACTTTTCAACCCTCTTCTTCTGTCATACAGCACAATACTTAGGGAGATCTACTACCAAAAAAAAGCCTCACTAGGCTCAAACTTTGTGGTAACAAACTAAGATTACAGTTCTTCCACTACACCAATTTCCTGCATCACACTGGTACCAAAAAATAAACGGCACATGGGTCATAATATCTCACCTGTTGGGATGGTCCTCCCACTCCTCTGACAGGGCCAGCTAATCCTGCTGGAGCCTGTGGCATGGGAGTCCCAGCTGGTACTCCCCTCCCTGCTGCTCTCCCAACACCAGGTCCTCCAGCAGCTCCAGCGAGGGGTACCCGGGCAATTCCAGTCTGAAAACACAGCCCCCAAAGAGAAAGATTTATCAGAAATCTTCAGAGCCTACAGATGCCCACAGCCTTCCTTTGTCCAATGACATGTCCAAGCCCACAAAGGAGTAAGAACTTCCTGCAGAGAAGTTTGTTGGACTTAGTCACAACAGCATCTGTAAGATCTGTAAGTCTACAACAATACAATAATAGCATTCCCCTGAAAAGAAGCAAATCCATCAATCTCCCTTCTTTTTTCTTTAGCTCTCTGCTCATTCTTACATCTTTTGGAGGTGGTCCTTCAACCGTCATGGACACCAGGTTTTCCCCTCGCAGCAACACAAGACCAAGGACTCGTTTCTCTTCCCGCTCTGGCTGTTTTGAATTTTTAGGTCTGGGGAGAAAAAAATATTGCAAAACAGAAGGAAAAACAGAATGAATGAACGCTGCTCTTTGAGCCTACAACAGAATACATGACTAGACTGCTTCTCCAGAGATGAGCACATTTTTATATGCCTCAAGCTAAGTACACAGAGAAATCTAAACTGCTAAAAATGGCATCACCTATGTTGGTTATTAGCAAAGAACTGAAACAAAGGGTCCCATAAGCCTTGGTAGTTTGGGGGTTTGACAAAAGAGACTAAACCTACAACTGGCATCACCCATGTTGGTTATTAGCAAAGAATTGAAACAAAGGGTCCCATAAGCTCTGGAAGTTTGGGGGTTTGACAAAAGAGACTAAACCCATTACTGGCATCACATATGCTGGTTATTAGGAAAGAACTGAAACAAAGGGTCCCATAAGCTCTGGCAGTTTGGGGGTTTGACAAAAGGGACTAAAGCCATGACTGCATTTGCAGGAGCCGGCAGCACACGCTGTCCCAGCCCTGGCCCCGAGCCCCGCGCTGGGGAGCCGGGCTGGGGGCACCCGCAGCGCTCACTTGATCTTGCGGAACTCGTCGCAGTCGCACAGGATGAGGTTCATGTGCTTATCGAAGGCCTTGAACGTGCCGATGAAGACGCGCCCGTCCTGCAGGATGCACCGCATGCGGTAGTCGATGTGCTGCAGCATCTTGCTGCTCTTCCCCACCGTCTGCAAGAGAGCGCCGCGTTACGCGCGGCCCGGCCCGGCTCGGCTCGGAGCGGAGCGGAGCTCGCCGCACCGGCGGCCCCCCGCCCCGCGGGCCCGCCCGGCTCACCATGGTTGCGGCTCTCCGTGCTCCCCCCGCCGCCGCTGCCGGACAAGGACAAGGACAGGGAGCGCAGCCGTCGGCGGAGCGCCTCGGGTCTGCCGGCGGCCCGGACTCCGGGCTGGCTCCTCCGCCCGGCACGGCACGGCCGCAGCTCCCGTTGTGCCGCGCTGCCGCCGCACCGCCCCCGCTGCCGCCGGGGCAGCCTCCGAGAGCGGCGAGGCCGGTGCCCCCTCGGGAGCCGAGGGACAGCGCTGGGCAGAACGATTCTTGTTTAATGCCTTTAGCTGGGTTTTAAGCCAAGCTTCGGGGGTTGGCGCCTGGCTGGCTGCTTTGAAGTCACTTGACTGATTAAACGTAATAAAGCAGTTCTCTTTTTGCTTGTTGCTATCAGTTTCTATCTTTGCCAGGAGATGGTCTCTGTGTTGAAATGTGCATGACCGGGGCCCATAGGCATAGTGCTTTACCCCCAAAGTGCAGGCCTTTGGAGCAATGTAGGATTCCAGAGGCAGGGAATCCGAGCCATTTGCTTCTCTGGTTTATCTAGAGAGGGGTGTTTCTCATTGCTTGGTGTGTGAGGTAGCATAGGAAGCTGCATAGCCTTCAGGCTGGACTCTGCTACCTCCTACCCTTTCATGCTGCTTGGCCAAGGAATGTCTTTTCTGCCCACCTGTCCCACTAGTCCCTCTGCCAATGTCACTTCCAACTTCAGCTTGGCCAGTTGGTACCATCTGGGGACTTGCTGAGGACTGCTGGCGGTGTTTTGTTGCATCTACAGGTTTCAGAAGCTGCAGCTATTTGCTTGTTGACTGGGTGATTCTACCAGGCAGCTTTTCTTTTTCAGGGAATGTTCTTTCATCCTCCTCATTTTCATTCTGTGTGCAGCACACTTTGTTCTCTATCTGTAATGAAAAGAAGATTGAGTTTGTGAATAGGGAAATTCTGCTTAAAATACTGTAGTTGTTTTAGCTTGCAGCTTCTCAGAAGTCTTTTGAATAGTGTGTTTTTAGTGGCTCTGCTGATTTTTCCTTGCCCTGCAGCTACCCCTGCACCACTGCCTTATATGACAGATCTCACTCTGCAGAAGCAGACTGAAATAATTTTTGGTGGATTTTAGCTTGGCTTCTATCTCTCTGTACAAACCGTGAGAAATTGTTTACGTGCTGTTGAGAAGAATGTGCTGTGAGAGCATGCACATAAGTGACTGACTGACAAACACAATTGCGCAACATCGTGGTCTGTACTTCTTCACAAGAGCTTCTCAACAATTTTATCAGCTCTATCATTGTTGCACTGCAAAATATCCATTGTAAAACCAAACATCTTGACACCCCTCTTGTCTGCAGATGCACAGTGAAATCTTTTCAAAGCATGCTTTTGGCAGACAGCCTCACGTTAAGAGGCTGACCTGAAGTACCCTTTGTATTTGCAGTCCAGTCATCCTCTTCTGGAAAGCTGCTTCTGCTGAACTATTGATCTGTGTTGGTCCTTCAAAGCATTGTTTGACCCAGACTGTTCTAAAAAGTTTCCTACCTTTTTAAATTTTTAATTCCTGCTTCTCTGGGTTCTCTTCAGCCAAGTCACTTTGGTGTTCAGATCTCTGTCTTTGTAAGAGATACCTGTGGTGTCTGCTCTGTGGTGCTGCTGTGCAAAAAAAATACCTTGAAGATATTTTTCAGAGTCTTGAAGCTCTGTTTCTTTCACTGTGTATTTGCTGTGCCTTGAATACTGATTGGAATAGGGAGCATGGTTGCCAGTCATGAGTGGGTGCTCATTTATGGAAGAAATTTGGGACAGAAATAAGTGTTAAGTATCATAGTGAGCTACTTTGAATTTGTATGCAGCTGAGAGTTTTTTGGGTTTTTTTTTTAAGATACCAAGGTAGTGCAATACAACTTGGTTGGTCCCTGGTTTTGGTGGTGAGGATATCAGGAGAGCTGCAGGTAGAGTGCATGACCTGTAGGTGCTGTGTGCCTCTGCAGTACTTTTTTGAAGTATGAATGGATGAAACAGGACATTTATATGGTTATTGAGAATGTGATTTAGTGGTGGACTTGGCAGTGTTATGTTTATGGTTGGACTTCATGACCTAAAGGGTGTTTTCCAACTAAATGTTCTATGATTTCTGCAGGATTTCCCCTCATATCAGCATTTCTGTTTTAATGGGCACTTCCCCTGTCTGAATGAGGCATGTTCTTTGAGTGGGAAAGGACAAGTTAGACATTTTTAAAGGCTTCTACCTCTAGTAATCTGGACATCTTTGTTTTGGCATATAAATTGCTGTATTTCCTTGTACTTTTCAGTAGCAACTTGCCACTTGCAATACAAATAAGACTATGACTGTACTGCAAGAGGCTGAAGGGAAAAGTGGTAATTAGATGCTAATTACTCATGCATAATTACTCATGGGTAAATTAGTTTAAAAAGTTGCAAATACAGTTCTTAATACTCGGGGACTAATCTTTGAGCCTTGTCTCTTGACTGTGTGTTTGTTGTGTCTTGAACATTGAATAGATGTAGATGTTTTCTGGTTGTGACTTGGCTCGCTCGTGGGAGAGGTAATTACCTGTTCAGTTATTGCAGGCTGGTGCTGGGGATGTTGAGGGTGTGATTCTGCACAGGACTGATGTTTCTCACACTTTCACTTCAGGCCATCATAGCCTTTAATTGCTGGAGAGCAGTGAGTGGAAATCACACACCATTTGGGAACTATCTGTTCCTAGATTTAATACGGGAAAACCCTGCAGGTCTGGGGGTGTCATACAAACTGGGCTCTTTGGGGAGTACTGGTAATTGCCCTGAGTCTGCTGCTTTTCTAAGGTCAGCTAATGTGTGCTGCTTATCTGGAAGGTTGGAGATGTTGTTTTGAACCTAACTTGACTGGCCCTTTTCTGAATGAGATGTGTTTAGCCTTACAGTCATTTCATGAGTTATAAGAAAATACAAGCCACTCTTGGGATTGGTGCTCAAACAGAAAGAGAAGGCCAGGAGTACTGACTTGTGGCCACCTCTGTGAATTGGGGTTGGCTTTCCAGAATATAATGAAATTCTGAATCTGGTTTAGGATTAAGGATAGGAGTGCAAGAGGTTACGTAGTCAAATTTTTTGGGCACAAACCACTGTGTCTAACAACTAATTTGTGTTCAGGGTTTGGTCTGAATGCAAGCTTATGCTCTGAAAGGCACATAAAGGAGTGAAAGGTACACTTCCAGAGCAAATGCTGAGTTACCTTATTTTCTGTGATGGATGCTCGTGTTTTGGATTTATGATGTTACAAAAAGGGAACAGGATAAAGTTAGCTGCTGCTGCTTTGCCTAAAAGCCTGTTTGGGTATCCTGAGTGGATCAAGTTGTCTAAGAAATTTGGATGGGGCATGAATTAACACCAGCCTGTGGGAGTGGGCTACCTGGACAGTCTGTTCCTGCTCTCACCTAGCTGAGCCTAGGGAGCTGCTGCTTTAGTGGTCCTGCAGCCTGAGCTGCCAGTACAGACAGTGGGTGGCAGATGGGGCTTTGCTGATCAGTGACCCTTCTTCTTGTGAGTGTCCCAACAAGCTCTCAGAAGTGTTTCTCAGGTGAGGAAGCTGGGCATGCAATTTCACAACATGCTGTTTGTGTGAGGCCTTGATCTCTGCTAATAATGGCTGTTTTGTCCCTGTCAGGCCCAGGAAACCATAAGGCTGAGCTTAGGTGTTTCAAAGCTTGGTGTTAGATCCAGTGTAGCAAGTGAAATGATTTTCAGAGAAGATGCTCACTATCCTTTCTCTGAACAGGTGTGGAGGTGTATGCTGTTGTAAGGGCACCTGGAGGAGTCTGGAGCAATGCCACCACCTTCAGACATTGTGAAAGTGGCTGTTGAGTGGCCAGGTGCCAATGCCCAGCTGCTGGAAATAGATCAGGTGAGACCTGGTAACCAGATGGGGGAGGAAAGGCACCCCAGCGTTGATACTGGAATGTGGGAAGCATAGAAATGGGCAGTATTCCTTTCTGGTTGAGAGGAACACGGCTACTGAGGACTCTCTTTCTGTTCTAGAAAAGGCCTCTTGCATCCATCATCAAGGAGGTCTGTGATGGGTGAGTAGTTCTCTGGGAATCCTTGTGGAGAAAGTCTGTCCTGCTGACAAATCTTGCTGGGTTGCTGTGGAAGTCTGCTGCTTGCTAATGTGCTGCTAGCACAGTCCTTGCTGCCTGCTGCTGGTTTTGGCCATGGAACGGGCTGGGGTTTCAATTGTGAAGAAAAAGATCTCCTGGAAAATGGAGGCCATCCATTTTTATTCCAATTCTAAGTGTGTGCATTTGTATGCCTTGGGGTCAGTTCTCTGAGGATTGGCCCATCCTGCTGTTCTTGAAGTGTAGGCTTGTTCAAGTGTTCCACAGAGCTGATTTAGAGTAGGCTTATGTCCCACATTGTCCTCAAGAGGAGTTTTCTCTCCTCTTTGGGAGACCTAATTTCCCCTGCTAAAGCTTTGCTTGAAACTTCTTCTGCATCTTCCTGACATCAAGCTCCATTTCCTAATTGACAGTCAGAAGAAAGGGGACAAAGATGCTTAATGTATCCTTCTTCCTCCTCTGCCAGGTGGTCGTTGCCAAACCCTGAGTACTACACGCTGCGTTATGCTGATGGTCCTCAGCTCTACATCACAGAGCAGGTCAGTGGGAGAGGCAGTTTGCTGATATCCTGGGTGAGAGTCCGGAATGTCTTGGGCTACAGGCATGGAACAATACTGGCACTAATCCTTGAGGAGCAGCATCTCTGCTCTCAGAGGGATTCAGACTCAAATGGTGCCATTCAGCAGAGGAGCTCTGCACTGCTCCCTTTGCATGCCTGGGTGTGGGGACTCAGGCACTCAAGTTCAGTACCCTCAGGAGGGCTGTGTGGCACAGGAGCCCCTTTACTCTGCATAGATGTGCACTGTAGATCCAGCTGGGTTATTTCCCCCCCACTTTTCCACAGTTTAAGTTTGGGTTTTCTTTCCAGACTCGCTGTGACATCAAGAATGGAACTATCCTCCAGCTGGCAGTCTCCCCGGTAAATGCTTCCTCACCTCCCTGTTTCTCAGTAACTCTCCATGGGTGGCAGGCTGTTTCTTACCTCTTGGCTTTTCTTTCTCCTTCTCCCCAAATTGCAGGGGGAGATTGCAAATTACCTTTGTTGTGGGCCCTTCCATGCAGTGAGGCATGCACTCTTTGTTTCCCCTCCTGCCTGTGGTGTGTGTCTTTCCTTTGGATGCTCTGCCTTTTTATAGGACTTCCTGTCAACAAATCCAGTCTGCAGTTTTAATGCATCTCCTAGATTAGAATGCAATGAAACACCTGACAAATGAATTTTCAATGTGAGTGCACTTGGCATGGTCAGTTAGAAAGCAACAGTTCCAGCAACCGAATACAAAAAATTAAAATAGAGACAAATTTGATGAAGAGGAGGTTGTTCTTGCTGAATTATTGTTATTGTGCCTTCAACAGTCATCTTTTGCAGCTTTCTTTTTTATTTAAATTCTTAAACCTTTTTTTTTGTGCAAATGTCTTGGCATAGAACTGAGGTAGGACTGGGAGAAGGTACTTGGGCAAAAGGGAATTAAGAGGATATAATGATCTGTGCCTGAGAAATCTTACAGAATGTCTTGTGGATACACAAAATTAGATCATGAGTCTTTTTATCAATATTGCATTTCTTTAATGGTGTTGCTCCATATTTCTGTACCCACCTCCACTCACCTCAGCGAGGAGAAAAACAGGCATTTGCTCTAACATGCAAACCAGCATTTCACTCACCTCCTGCTTGGCTGTAACTGTTGCTGAGAGAAGCCTTTTTTTAGTCTGTCTTAGACTTGCTGACTGCAGCTACTGAATGTGACTTTGCTGCTATCTCTACCCTGGCTCTGCTCCCCCTGCCCACCCGTGGGTTCTGACAGAATGCTGATGGTGGCAGGACTCAGCCTGCAGGTGCCTGGGCTGTAACTGGCACCATCCCTCTTTCCTGCCAGTCCAGGGCAGCTCGCCAGCTGATGGAGAGGATCCAGTCCCACAGCATGGAAGCCCGCCTGGATGCCATGAAGGAACTGGCAAAACTTTCAGCAGACGTCACCTTTGCCACAGAGTTCATCAACATGGAAGGGATTACAGTGCTGACACGGCTTGTGGAGAGTGGGACCAAGCTTCTATCCCAGTAAGTTTCATTTATTCCAGGACTCTGGGAGAAGGCCTTGAATAAGGGGCTCATTTTGCTTGCTGAAGTGGCATTAAGCAGCTAACCTTGGAGCAAATGCTGATCTGTGGAGACAGAGTCTTTCCAGTCATTTGCTAAACCTCACGGGGCAGAAGAGGAGACAGTCATGATTTGCTCTGGAAGTTTCCTCAAGCACAGTCACAATGAATTATGGTACAAATAATTCAGTTGGATTTTCTGTTGCAGTTGTTATATTTCATTGAAAGTACTTTTAAAGTCTTGATGACTTACTGTAATAACATTTATAGCTCTTCTTATATATTAGCAACTAATACATTTTTGGCATTTTTTGCAATCTTCCCTTCAGTCTCTTTTATCTTTCTGTCTTGTGGTAATGTATTAAATTTTCCACAATTCATGCTGTGCCTTCATTTTATTTCAAGTCAGGTCCCAATATTTAGAGGACAATTAACTTCCCTAATTTTTTTTTTCTGATGTGAAAACATGTTTGCTCCTTTGAGTAGCCAAGTACTGATCCTGGTGATTGTGAGTCTCTGGTGGCAGGACTAGGGACTTACTGCTGCTACTTTTAATTTGTGCTGGTAACCAGGAAAAGTAAAATATCTTTCTACAAAACAGTAAATTATCTGCATGAATGCATGCACTTTATTGCTCCCCCAGGTGCCAAACTCTGTTATTGGGAGAACGCGGTGACATTTTTCTCTTATCCAGCTTGAGCAGGGTTTTTATCTTGCCAGCAGATCTCTTGTAACTGAATTCTTCAATTTCTCAGTTACAGTGAGATGTTGGCTTTCACCCTGACTGCCTTCTTGGAGCTCATGGACCACGGTATTGTCTCCTGGGACATGGTCTCAATAACCTTCATCAAACAGGTGAGTTTGGGCGGAGGCGGTGAGCGGATTTTATTTCTTTAAAGCATCTCCCAGGAAGAGCACAAGACTCTGAGAAGCTGAGTGCTGTCTGAGAGCAGAGTGCAGCCCCCTTTGTGAGCCCTCAGTGCCCACAAGGTGTGCTGGCTGGCAGAGCTGACCTGCTGCTTGCTGTGTGCTCAGATTGCAGGCTACGTGAGCCAGCCCATGGTGGACGTGTCCATCCTGCAGCGCTCCCTGGCCATCCTGGAGAGCATGGTGCTCAACAGCCAGACTCTGTACCAGAAGATTGCAGAGGAGATCACTGTGGGGCAGCTCATTTCCCACCTGCAAGTGTGAGTGTCCACCCAGCAGTGGTGGGATTTATACCAATTTTATGACTACTTGTTTATTTAAAAATACATCCTCTTACATTTGGAATACTTAAAGGTTATATTTTTTAAGCATTACCAATGGGACAACTTACTTGAAGTTTAAGATTTCTAATGGATTTTTTTAAAAAGTGAGATCCTAGAAAAATGTGTTCTGGAAGAACTTGGGCACATGAGTGTTGAACAAAGATATTTAGCTTTAAATAACTGCCCAAGTGTGCTCAGTGCTAGGACCAAACTTGCATTTCACTAGAACAACTTCCCAAAGGTTTTGCATCCTGCTGTCTGTCACTTTCACCCGTCTTTAAATTGTCTCCACTAGAATGTAAGAGCTCATCATCTTGTGGGTTTTGTCCTGCATACTAAGGAAGAAAACAATTGCTTTTCTTGCTTGGAGGGATTAAAAATTCCCTTCATTTCTTTCCTCTCTTTCCAAACAAACTGGAAAATTAATTTCTGTCTCTTAGGGCTGTTTGTCTAGGTCAGTTCTACTCTTCATTATGAAAAAGCTGCATGTAGTTGTTAGAGCTTTGAACAGGTTGGGTTTTTCTCAAGCCTTTTAATTCTGAACGTATGGAAAAGCACTATTTGTGAATGTGATTGATGCTCTTTAATCAGTGAACAGTAGTTTAACCAAATCACAGTGCAAACAAAGTATTGCATCAATGTCACTCCATGCTTGGAATGTTTATACATTTGAATTTGGTTAACAGAAAAGCTAAACAAGTTCTCCTGAACACCCCAGCAGCTTTGTTCTGCAAAGAGCATTTATTGTCTCAGCTTTATGATTTCTGGTTCACTCAAACACAGATTTGCTCCTAACATTGAACACACTTGTGCAGTTTTTTAAAGCAAATTATCTTTGTTCAAGACATAAACTTGTGTGCTTAAGTGCTTCCAGAACACAAATGGTCACTTAAAAAAGCATCTGTGGAGGGAGTATTTTAGAAAAGGAGGTGGAGGGTGAGTCAGGATTTGCTGGTGGTTTTCTTGGCAAGGCCATCAGGAGGCAACAGTTCATAACAGAGAATATGTTCTGGAAGAACATGACCATGGAACATGACCAAAGAGATGAGTTAGAAGAGGAGAAACTAACCTAAAAAATTGTTCTGCTTTGTCAAAAAATAAGCAGTGTGGTGAAAAGAGCAACAAACCCTGAAAAGGAGAGCAAAAGTGAATGTCAGACTTCAGAGACCTGTGCAGCTTGGAGGCCCAAGGAGAGCCTAGGATGCTGCATGGAGATTTGCATGTTTGAAGTACAGCAGATTGGCCAAAATGAAAAAGATTTGCGAGGGAGCAATAGAAGAAAGAATATGGTTGTTATCTATAGATATGTCAAGGTGAGGAAAATAGGTATTTAAGCTAAAAGAAGTATTGGCTTCAGATCTTTTAAGAAAAGATCTTTTATTTCTACATGTGTAGTTAAATAAATAAAAAATATTTTTAAAAAATAATATTCATGCACAGATATTAATTTAGTTGACACACAAGAGCTTGATACAGTGATGTGCACTGGCTCAGGCTGAGGGATAGAGTGACTTTACAGCCAAGGTCTACCCCCCCAGGAACAGTTAGAGTATTGCAGGAAACAGACCTGCATTTGACAGAATATCAGGAGGAGGACAGAAGAATATCATTGGCATTTAAAAGCTTAGTTTTGTGCTGTTTTGAACATGACAAGTATAACCACATGCTCTGTGTGACCTAGGAGGGGGCTAAGCACCCTTTACCTGAAGAAGTTCTTAGTTCCATTTGATTTTGGTGGCTTCCATTGGCATAGGGGAGAAAAATAACTTGCTCCATACGAGTTTCAAGCTGTATCCACGTAGCAGACTGTACCATAACCAGGTTTTACAGAGATAGTTTCAGCACTGGAAACAAACTGTGGTGGTGCTGGGCTGCAGTTTTCTCTGTCTGCTGGATAATGGACCTATCAGTCAGAAATCTCTGTCAGGTTTTTGCAAGCCTTTTGAAGAGTTGAACATCATAAGCATAGGTTACATGAGTCCTGCTTGTCTGTTGAAAATGCACAACTGCTGTAGTCAGTGTTCTGATGGTGCAGGTAAAGCAGCAAGCTGTAATGTTCTGTACTGCCTGTTGCCTCACAAGGCTGCCTTTTTTGTTTCTGCAGCTCAAACCAAGAGATTCAGACATATGCCATTGCCTTGATCAATGCCCTCTTCCTGAAGGCACCTGAGGACAAGAGACAGGTTTGTTCTTGCCTTTTGGCTTTAAACCTGAGTGATGGTTGCTGCCTGGCTGTTTATGCCTCAGAAATCATATTGTCTGGGCAAGGTAGACCTCAGACCTTGCCAAGAACTTAAGTGCCTGTTTCAGTATGGCAACAGAGGAGAAAAAGTGCCATCCCATTAATAATGTGTCCTGGAGCACACATCTATATTTAGGAGATGCTCAGAAAGGATTCTGAAAGACCTTCAGAGACAGAAAGTAATCCTGCAGACAGCATGGGAAGTTTTTTTAAGTTAATTGTGTATGGGAAAGGTAGGCTGGGTAGACTCCTTGGGCTGTGTATTCTTAATAAAGAAACACCCACCTCCCTCTCCCCCAAAAAGGGACTTTTCTTAAGTCATAGGGGGATATTCCTGCAAGCAAACATGAGAAATGAAACACTGCCCTGCTCTGAGGAAACTCCCAAGATCTCAGCTACCTGCAAGATGTGCATATGTGTGTATTGTGTAGCTTTGCTGTGTTAAGCCTTTCTTCTCTAGTGCCCTGTTTGTGCCTTATTCCTGGACTCCAAGCTAAATCCTGTCTGCTTCTCTTTGTGCCTTTTTTTGCTTTCTGCCAGCAGGACAAGCTGCTTAACCCACTAGACCTGCCCATCACTGTAAGTAACTCAAGCCTGGGGGCTGGTCATGTAGGGGGCTGTAGGCATGTTAGCTCTTCTCTAGCTGTGCCCCCTTGTATCCCAGGGATGATGCCCACAGCCTCAGAGAGTGGATGAACCCAGGGAGAAGGGCGGGAGGACTCCTGGGGATGCACTCAGACTGTGGAGGGGAGAGCAATCAGTAGCAGGAGAAACCCTGAATGGCTTTCTGTGCACACAAGGTCATACAGGTGGTCACAAAAGGAAACTGATACTGCAAGACTGACCAGGTGAACCAACTGTAAAACTGGAACAAGTCTTTTAGCAATCTGGATCTTCTTAAACTTACTGCACCATGAGTTTATAGCCCAGATCTCACTTGTGCTAATGACAGTTTCATATCCAGCTGCATCCTTCTAAAGATAGAGCTGTTTGTCTGTGAAGAGCAGTCACAAAACTTGATGCTGACTGGGGACTAGAGCATAAATTCTGCCTAATTTGTGACTTCTCCCTTATGGTGATTGTAGTTTAAGAATGTTTTTTGCCTTCTGCTAACTCCAGGGAAATCACCCTTCTTGTTAATGGGTTGATTTGGAACCTTCTGTATTGAGATAATGGTAGGTTTTTTGGTTTTATGCATGGCACAGAGAATATTCCACTTTTTTCAAGGATGCAGCACCTTCAGAGTGCAAACTGCCATCTCAGTAAATGTTACATAATTTCTAAAATTAATGGATATGCTTAATACATGAACATAAGGAAAATCATACTCCTCTGTTGGTAATTCAGCAAAGATCATAGACTTCATAGGAAACAAAATTCCAAGGGATATTTCACTTTTTTCCCCTCCCTTGAATACAATCCAAATGACCACAAAGAGCCATGGAGTTGCCTAAGGGACTTGGAGTATCTTCCATATGAATAGAGCCTGAGAGATTTGGGATTGGTCAGCCTTAAGAAGAGAAGACTCAGGGAGGTTTTATGTGTTTAAATATCTGATGGAAGGGAATAAAAAATAGGGAGCCTGACTCCTCTCAGTTGTGCCTATTGACAGCACAGGAGGCAGTGGGAACAGCTTAAAACCCAGGAAATTCCACATGAAACATGCACACCCACAAGACATAAATATGAGAGTGGTCAAACACTGCAACAGGTTACCCAGAGAGACGATGGAGTCTCCATCAGTGGAGATATTAAAAACCTGACTGGACACAGTCCTGAGCAAGCAGATTTGTCTGATGTTGCTTGAGCCAGTAGAGTTGGACTAGGTGATCTCAAGACATCCCTTTCAGCATAAATCATTCTGTGTTTCTGTGACCATCAAGCAGCAAAGTGGCCCTTACTGGACTCTCAGCAGACCATAGATCCCTTAGCAGTGGTTTGACTGTCTGTGTCCTCATGCTTCTTTCTATGCTGTTTAGAATTGTTTAATTGTCTTTGTCCTTCCCACTTCTTATCTGCTTCAGTCACCTGTTAACTCCATCCCACGTACAAACTAATTCCTTCAGAGAAAGGATTCTTTGTGTGGCATGCATGAGCAAATGCTAACAACACAGCCTTGTCCTATTCTCAGTACTACATCTCACAAATAGTAGTAGAAAATAATGACTCAGAGGGCAGTGTGTTCTCTCTGAAAGCACCTCCTACTTCATCTAGATGCTCCTTAGATACCTTCCACTCAAGCACTGACTCACTTTGGTTGTAAGATGAGTGCTGCTGAACTTGCAGCCATTACAGCTTGGCTGTCAGTCACTGTCTTGGTTCAGGAGGTTTCTGTCTGGATCAAAAGGGATAATAGGAATTCTGAACAAGGTTAATGCATACATTTTAGCAGACTTCTTGTTCTGTCAAGAGTGATGTTGATGGGAGCAGTTGGAAAGTCTTGGATTGCTCAGAATGTACAGCTGATTGAGTGCAATTGTCTGAGACTCCACATCTGCTCCCAATTCTCAATCTGCACTGCACAGGAATGTAAAGAGAGATCTCAGACTGTCAGTTCTTTTGGACTTCTTCCAGATGATAAAATGCCCAACAGATTTTTCTTACCCAAAAGATTTTGCTTGTAGCAGCAAACTCATTATATTCACCTTGACATTAGCACTTGTGCCATTCTCCTAGCAGGGGTGATAAGGTCACTGATGTGTTAGAAAGTGCATCTTCACAATTTGCAAGGAAAGCACAGGTTAGGTTTTTGCAGATGCATATGTTGCTGGAACTGAAGGCATCTTGCATCTGCTGAGACTGTTTGTCATCATGACTTGATGTTTGGGAAACCCTCCTCATCTAGAGAAGGAAGCCATGCAGTCAAGAGGGAAACTGGAAGCTTTCCTCTAAGCATGAAAATTATTAGCCTGTATTTTTGTAAATTGAAATGCTTCTGCAAATCATCTTCAAGCTGCCTTCTGATCATCTCTTTAGAAACTGGACAAAGGAAATAAATTGCAGAGGGAGAGCTTTTGAGAGGGAAGAGACCTGAAACCTGCCTCCCATAGCTCTTGTTATCTTGGGTGTTCACCTTGGTATACAAAGCTGTGAAATGCTAATTGGAGGAAGCTCTTGGAGGTGGCAGACTTTTCCTGGGCAATGCACAGTGTGCTCCCTGCTGCCATATATCCTAGCAGTGAAGTACCATTTGATGTCCAACATTAAGCTAAATTTGCTTCTGTGCTTTGACTCTGCTAGTGGCTTTCTCCACACCAGTGATGTTCTGTAGGGGAGCCATCTATGAGTTGTGCTGAGATGCTGTGCTAAATTGACAGTCTGTAGAAAAGCACTTTGTTGTGTGCCAGTGCTATTTCCAATTCATAGGCTACTTCCATTTTCTCCTTTATGCACTGTGTGGGCTTTTTGTTTATATTTCACTCATGTTATTTCATCTTTAAATTCCACAACAGGAAATGGCTAATGCATTTGCCCAGAAGCACCTGAGGTCTATAATCCTAAATGTAAGTATGTCTGGAATGACAAAGTGCTTCCTAATGTCCTCTCAATGGAGGTTTCACTTATGCATAGTGTAAATTTACTGCCCTCAGGGCACTTGCAGAAAAGTGACTCTTTCAAAGGTAAAACTTATTCAAAAGGGAGTTACCAGGATGCTGCTTTCTGCTGTTACAGAGCATTATAATTATGCTTCTGGTGGGATATGGAGGTTAAACCACTGAATGTTCATATAGAGAGATACATATGCCTAGGGTTAATACCTCAGCTTTTATTTGCATTCTCTTAATTTCTACCCTCTCCTTTATTTTGCAGCATGTGATCAGAGGAAACCGTCCCATTAAAACAGAAATGGCACATCAGCTCTACGTCCTGCAGGTCCTGACCTTTAATCTCCTGGAAGAGAGAATGATGACCAAGATGGATCCCAATGATCAGGTCACTATTAGAGCTGAGTAAGATCTGATAGAATAGGCTGTACAAGGGGCCTTTTTCCTGGGCTCCCTAGTGCTATGGAATTTGCAGTGCATGGTACATAAAGTTTCAAACTTGCCCTTCACATTGTTAGGGTATGCTCATGACCATCCTACTGCATTCTGTGGGACTTTGAGATGTAAGTGGGCTCTGAAAGTCATATACTTCTTTCTTGACCAGTGTGATGCCAGCTGTAAAAGTGGTTACTTAACCTCTATGACAGGCACATCATTTTATCCATTTGCTTGCAGTATAAGAGGAAAAATGGGCATTTTTCAGGTGTCTGTTACTCAGCTGTATTACAGTTTTTAAGGAGAAATGCCATAGCATTACTTGAATGCCTAGAAATTGTCTGTAACTAAACTTGCAGTTAAAGAAAAGTGCAAACAGATATTTTGCATTACCCACTGTACTGAAACTTGCCATTTTGAAATGGATTGCCTCTTTGTGTATAGTGTTAATGACCCCTGGCATCTCTCTGTGTTCATTGTGTGAGCTCTGAGGAGAGTTGCAGGAGTGTGAAATATGTGAAAATACTGCTGTAGTGATTGATCACATCACCATTTCCCTGCCTTCTGTCCTTCAGGCACAGAGAGACATCATATTTGAGTTGAGAAGAATTGCATTTGATGCAGAGTCTGACAGCAACACCGTCCCTGGCAGCGGAACGGAGAAACGCAAAGCCATGTACACCAAGGACTACAAGATGCTGGGATTCACTGTATGCATCTAGACTGTAAACCTTGTCAGGGGAGTCTGAACAATCTCCACAGGAGTTGTGGGGAAATAAGGAACAGGAACAGCTGTTTCCTTTACCTTACTTCAGTATCTGAGTTGAGAGATTCAGTTTCACTCACACTCCCGGGGAAGATCGTTATGAACTTGCTGAGGGGTGAAATGTAAGGGTTCATTAGGCATTCTCTGGAGGTATTTCCTTACCATGTGCACCTGTGCTATGAAGAACTTGGAACCAGCCTCTCCTCTAGAAAGTTCAGCTAGCATTGTCAGGAGGTGTTCAGGGTTACCTCTTGGATAGATGTAAGGGAATGCCTGATGGACAGGTGGTTTGAAATTAATTCAGAAAAGGTTCTCACACAATTCCTTTGAGCTAATTTGTGTGGAATCTTTCTACACTTTTCACAGAATCACATCAATCCAGCCATGGATTTTACACAGACTCCTCCTGGGATGCTGGCATTGGACAACATGCTTTACTTGGCCAAATTTCATCAGGACACCTATATCAGGGTATGTGAAGCTGCTGATTTTTACAGATGCCAACACCTCAGCAGCTCTTCTTAGTGTGTGTGACATCCTGTTGTTGTAGATTGTTCTGGAGAACAGCAGCCGAGAGGATAAACATGAGTGTCCCTTTGGGCGCAGTGCCATTGAGCTCACCAGGATGCTCTGTGAGATCCTGCAAGTTGGGGAACTCCGTAAGTACCATTTATTACCCAGCTTTGCAGGCTGCTGGGCTGATGCTTCTAGAAACTAATATCCACAAGCATTTGTACCTTGATCTCACTTCTGCCATGTAAGGACAGAGTGAGCTTGGAATTAAGCACAGTTGATGTCAGAGTGATAATACCATTATCAAAATAAGGTAAGTAATTTTGGTGTGTGCACTCTGGTTCTCCTGAAAAACTGATACATGCAGAAAGCTTCGACTTCCCAGAGCTTAAGGAGGGTTCTGTATTAAAAAAAAAATAGTCTTGAAATCACCATGAACTTGGGAAAAGTTTGTTTGCTCTGACAGCTTCAAAACAGCATTTTGAGAAAATTAACCACTGTAAGAAATTCCACCAGAGGAAGGTGGGAAACACTGCAAGCAATTATTTTGGGGGATCAGGATGAAAAGGGCATGAGTCACAGAGGTTTGCATGGTGAAGTGTGGGGAGAATTGCCAGTGTCAATAAACTATCTATGGGGTGACAAAGTATTGAACTGTCTTGATCTCTTGGAGTAAGTACTGTTGCACACCACCAGGTGTCTGTCACTGTAGTGGACTTTAGCTACTCCTAGTACCTTTTGTCCAGCATGCTCACATGGCTGTGGTTTGTTTCTTTCTGAAGCCAATGAAGGCCGGAATGACTATCACCCCATGTTTTTCACCCATGACCGTGCATTTGAGGAACTGTTTGCCATCTGTATCCAGCTGTTGAACAAGACCTGGAAAGAAATGAGGGCGACAGCAGAAGATTTTAATAAGGTCAGGGTGGAGAAGAGGTATTTTTGTAAAATGTTTGGTCAATCAGCACATGTTCACTCAGCCTGTACGTTTGGTTAAGGAGTAGGGCACAGAAGATGTGATATGGGCTGTAAGGGAGGATGACTCAACATTTATGTGGAATGCCCTGAGGTCCTTCTTGGTTCTTCTGGATCTTCACAGTCACTAGTGTCCTGATACTCCTGGTCCTGCTATCCCATGTCAGGTCTTTGCTGCCACTGAGTTGTGCCCTGATACTCCGCTGCCAACAAGAACGTGACTTATTTTTTTTCCTGTCCCACCTCTTTAGGTTATGCAGGTTGTTAGGGAACAGATCACAAGGGCTCTGCCCTCTAAACCCAACTCCTTGGACCAGTTCAAGAGCAAACTGCGCAGCCTGAGCTATTCTGAGATTCTGCGGCTACGCCAGTCTGAGAGGATGAGCCAAGATGACTTCCAGTCTCCACCTATTGTGTACGTGCCTGACAAAAACAGTTGCCTTCTATCCCTGCCGTTATCTCCATTTTCTGCTTACTCTTCCATATTCAATTGCCAGGGAGCTGAGAGAGAAAATCCAACCTGAGATCTTGGAGCTGATAAAGCAGCAGCGCCTGAACAGGCTTTGTGAGGGAAGTAGCTTTAGGAAAATTGGAAATCGCAGAAGACAAGGTAAGGGGACAGTGTCTGCTGTATTTTTTCATGAGAAGATCTATAGCAAAAAAGATCTAATTAATTAATCTGTCAGCAGGCATGTTGCCAGAAAGAAAAGCTGGTTACTTGGCTGTCCATATCAGCCAGTAGTTTGGGATGGCACAAATGTGCATTTCTAAGAATACAGCTGTCCCCTCATGAATAAGAAGCTGTGCTGAGGAACTGGGCAAGCAGATGGATTGGGTGGAGAGGCTGTAACAGTGGCTGTGAGACCTTATGTGAATGATCTTGCTCAGCTTACCCTACTTGGTGTGTGTTCCAGAAAGATTCTGGTATTGTCGCCTGGCTCTGAATCACAAGGTGCTACACTATGGAGACCTGGAAGATAATGCCCAGGGGGAAGTGACCTTTGAATCTTTACAAGAAAAAAGTAAGTCCTGGTTACAGGCTGTGCACTCATCTGTGCTCTGCTGTCTAGAGCTGAATATAATCCTAGATAAAGATGAAAGACACAAGGCTGAAGCCCTGACTAAGGAGATACCAACTTTTGGTCCTTGCCCAAATTCTTCAAATCCTTGAATTACTTGATAGTTCTTTTGTAAAAGCCAGCTGCAGGGATGTCTTACTGGTAATGTGTTTTGGAAAACTACACTAACAAGCTAAAAAAACCAAACAGTGTTCAGTTGCAAAGACAAAACAAAGTTCTGTATTTTCCTGGTTAGGATTGCTTGTTTGGGAGTTTTACTTTTTCACTGTTAGTTCCAGTTGCAGACATCAAAGCCATTGTCACAGGGAAGGACTGTCCACACATGAAGGAGAAAAGTGCACTGAAACAGAATAAGGCAAGTGCTCCCTTTTCACTGTCATTAATATCTAATGGGGTAGTGTTTGAGATTGAAAGTGAGCAAGAGTGAATGATCTCCCCCGCTGCAGGTGTGCTGTGTACAAACCCCATCTCCTGTCTGAGCCCTTTCCTGGTGTTCCTTTGTGACTGCAGGGAGCTGTAAGCATGATTGTGCTGTAGTCTCTTCAGAATTGCTCACACAAAGTGTCCTGAGCTGCAGCAAGGCAGCTCTCGGGGTGGCAGGCAGAAGGTGCTGTAATGTTCTGTTCAGCTGCTGAGTGAAAGATTCTTTTTCATTTAGGAAGTGTTAGAATTGGCCTTCTCCATATTATACGATCCCGATGAGACCTTGAACTTCATCGCACCTAATAAATATGAGGTAAGAAACGTAGTGGTTAAGCAGTAGAATATATATCAATTAACTTCAGAGATTAAGAAGGATGGGTTGCTTCTCATTAGAGACTCGAGCAGGCTCTCTCTCCCCAGGTTCATTCCTAGAATATATTGCTGATGGTTTATATGAACCATCTTTTTTTTTCCCTTAATTATCTTTTTAATTTAAAAAGAAAAAAAAAATTCCACACTAATTTCCCCTAGTCTGGACTGCTACTTTTTTTTCTCCTATGATGCCTAGAATAGGTTCACTTTTTTCATTTGTTCTGCCACAGTAGACACTCTGGTCCTTCTAGTACAACCACAGGCTCACACTTTCCTCTAAGCTTTTAACTTCCAGTGGAAATCTCTGTGGACACTGCTTTAGAGCTGGGGGTGGGATTTTTTCCCTACATATTAACTTACTCCAGTGTTTCTTGTCTTAAAGTTCTCTTAATTTTTGCATGGACAGAAAGATTTGAGCTGGTATCATTTAAGCCTGGAGTCATGTGAAATCACTCGTTTTTGAAATTTTAAAAGTTTAATAGTAATAAAATGGTTATAAAAATAGTAATATAATTAGAATAATACAATTTGAACATTTGAGATTAGGACAATATGAGACAATAAAAACAAAGAGATACGGACGTCTGGGTACCTTTTTCTGGGCAACACAAGCCCGAAAAAGGACCCCTGTTAACAGAGGATTAACCCTTAAAAACAATTGCCTGTTGGATATTCATACATCTCATACTTGATGCATAAATTCCATTCAAACACAGGATTCTGTCTGGTCACTGTCAACTTCTTCCTCTTAATCCTCATGCTGCCTTCCAGTCGGAGCGAGGTGGGAAGAAGTTAGTTTTCTGCTGATAAGGGAGCAATAAATTCCCTTTCTCTGAAAGATTTAGGTGTCCTGTGGCTTCTATCTGGTGCGAGTCCTTTCTTAAACAAATATCTTGCGTAGCATAGTTTCTATATTAACATTATGTCATAACCTAAAACTATATTTAATACACTACTTAAGAAGATTAATATAGCATAACTTTCTAGCATAATACAATATTTATTTTAATACTTGCGAAAAGCCAATCATAAAACACACATTTTTTACAGTCGTGCACGACCCCTTCTTTTCCACAGTACTGTATCTGGATTGATGGGCTTAATGCCCTCTTGGGGAAGGACATGTCCAGTGAGCTGACCAAGAGCGACCTGGACACGCTGCTGAGCATGGAGATGAAGCTGAGGCTCCTGGACTTGGAGAACATCCAGATCCCCGAAGCGCCGCCGCCGATCCCCAAGGAGCCGAGCAGCTACGACTTCGTGTACCACTACGGCTGAGGCCGAGCCCGCGGGGCCGCCGCTTGCTGCCGTGCCGCGGGCTCGGGCCGGGCCCCGGCGCCGCCCGCCTTTTGTATCGGTTCCAATAATAACCAGTAGCGCTCCTCGCCGCCGCCGCCTCCGCCTCTTTCCGCCCTGCGCGGAGCGTCACCGCTGCGCGCCCGCTACGGCTTCTCCATCGGCATCACCTTCTACAACAAGTGGCTGATGAAGGTGCGGGGTGGCGGGGCGGTGCGGGGCGGCGGCGGCGGGAGGGCGGCGGCGGTGACAGCGGCTGTCGGTCCCGCAGAGCTTCCCGTTCCCGCTGCTGGTGACGCTGCTGCACCTGCTGCTCATCTTCGCTCTGGCGGCGCTCGCCCGCGCCCTGGAGCGCTGCCGCTCCGGGCGGCCGCGGGCAGCGCTGCCCTGGGCCGACTGCCTCCGCCGGGCGGCCCCCGCAGGTACGGCCGGGCACGGCAGGGACGGGAGAGGGGCGGCGGAGCGGGAGCGGGCCGCAGGCTGGGGCACGGCCATACAGGGAACACGTTCAGGTGCTGGAGAGCATCCAGAGGACAGCCACGAGGATGGTACAGGGAGCCGCTGAGGTCGCTTGGTGCGTTCAGCCTGGAGAAGGGGAGACTTAAAGGAGGCCTTGTTGTGGTCTTCAGCATCCTCACGAGAGGAAGCACGAGGGCAGGCACTGATCTCGTCACTCTCATCCAAGAAAACATGAAGCTGAATCAGGGGAGGTTTAGGTTGGATATTATTCACTCTCATCCAAGAAAACATATGAAGCTGAATCGGGGAGGTTTAGGTTGGATATTAGGAGGTTTTCACCCAGAGGGTGGTTGTGCACTAGAACAGGCTCCCCAGGGGGATGGCACCAAGACTGACTGAGTCCAAGAAGTATTTGGACAGCACTCTCAGGCACAGGGTGGGATTCTTGGGGTGTCCTGTGCAGGGCCAGGAGTTGGACTCAATGATCCTGGTGGGTCCCTTCCAACTCAGCATATTCTGTGGCTCTAGGAGGCTGCTCAGGGGTGCCTGTGGCACTCTGGCTGCTTCCAGAGCCCTTTGTCTGCCTGGGGTGGTCGGGGCCAATCCCCTGGGACAGGGTGAGCTGGGGGATCCAGCCTTTGCTCTGGCCCCCATGTTTCCCTGCCAGGTGTAGGGCAAGTGTAGGTGCTACCAAAAGCTTCAGCCTGAGACATGCCACCTTGCTCAATACAGAGATGTATAAGAATAGGGAGAGGCCACACAGAATGAAGCTTTCTGAAGGAGTCACTGGCACAGAGAACGTTCTACAGTGCCTTGATAAGTTGTGTCTGCAAGTAACATTTTCTCTTCAACGCTGGTATCATGCCATGTGTTGCATCTTTCTCAGGGTGGCTTGGTAGAGAATTCATCATTCATGGCACACAGAACTATCTGAGACCAAGGAGTGAAGCTCCTACTTGGAGCACAGAACTGTAACTCCTGCTGCAGTTCTTTGGCTGTGTGTTGTATTGGCTCCCACAGAACAACATCTGGTCTATGATCTCTGGCAAGGTTTGCAGTACCTTACGTAACATGCCCCATGGTTTCTTGGAAAAAAGCTTTCTCCACATCTGCAGCAATTTTACCTTTCAGCATGGCCTGCCCTTGGATCAGTAACACTGTTTCCTGTGGTAGGAAACTTATAGAGAAGGGAGAATAGGCTGTACCAAAAGCTGCACCAGGGTTAAGGCTGTGTGCAGATAATTGTTGCTTTTTCAGGCTTCTTGCAGTGACCCTCACACTTAGAAGTTATCATACGCTGATACATTCAAGAAAGACTTTATGCAAATCTGCAATCACTTTCAGTCACAGTGAGGGCAAGTTATTTCTGGCTTTTTTGTAATGCACGTTGAGTGAGTGCAATGCTGAGCCCAACTTGAGTCACAGGGAACAGTACAGAAACATGAACAGCAGAGGGTATCTGAGTTATGTTCGTTCTGAAGAACTAACATGAGGAAAGGTTATTTTTTCCCTTGGGTCTGCCGCCATGAAGCAGGGTTTTGTGGTGGGTTTGTTTAATGTCATGGAAGACAGCTAACTTCAGGTGTTTTTCATTGATTCTTTAGCTCTGTCAACTTCCTTGGATATTGGGCTGAGTAACTGGAGCTTCCTGTATGTCACTGTCTCCCTGTGAGTACAAACACCACATTCCCTGGAGCCTCTGGTGGGGTTTGGAGAGTGCTTTGCCAGGGTCTGTTTCTTGCACAGGTGTTTGGTTAGTGGGGTCAGCCTGCAGGGTCTGTGATAGCTTGCTGGTAGCAGTGTAGAAATGGGTGATGGTTCCTAATAGTACTTTGGTGGGAATCACTACACTGAAGGAGTCTGACAGTGTATTTTGGTCCTTACAGCTACACAATGACAAAATCCTCTGCCATTCTCTTCATCCTGCTTTTTTCACTGCTCTTCAAGCTGGAGGAAATGGTAAGAGTCCCACACAATGCTTTAGGGAGGGAGGTCAGACCCAGGGAAATAGGCAGTGCATGTGCAAGAAACATGTAAGCAGAGGAATGCTGCAGTTATGTGGGTGAATCTGAAAGGAAGGAGGTGCCTGTCTCTGTTGTGTTTGCTCTCCTGCAGAGGGTGACGTTGCTGCTGGTGGTTCTGCTCATTGCTGGGGGACTCTTCATGTTCACCTACAAGTCCACACAGTTCAACGCGCAGGGGTTCGTGCTGGTGCTCTGTGCCTCTTTCCTGGGGGGCATTCGCTGGACTCTCACTCAGATACTGATGCAGAAGGCTGAGCTGGGTATGTGGGGAGCCAGGAGGGGGTGGTGGTGCTGGTAACAGGGAGGGGAATAAGGAGAGGTGATAGCCCTTGCTGCAGAAACTAAACATCTCATGGAAGGTGTTTGAACCCTTGGGCGCGGGGTATCTGTTGGTGGGTGATGGAGGTGGCTGGGTGTCTGCAGCAGCACAGGTGTGGGCATGGTAAATACAGGTGTATGTCTAGGAATGGTGCTAATAAAGGCTCTGGGACCTGTGTTATTCCCTGGCTTGTTGCTGCCTGCTCTGTTATTGATTCTCCTCTTTCAGGGCTCCAGAATCCCATTGATATCATGTTTCACCTGCAGCCGCTGATGTTCCTGGGGCTCTTCCCACTCTTTGCGGTGTTTGAGGGTGCGTGAGTTAATTAGAGAATGGAGTGGTTGGGAGATTGCTTAGCAATTTGTTATTCGAGATAATTCACTTAGATAAGTGAACAACTATCAACTCTGCAAAGTAGTTAAAGGCCTGGATTTATCTTATGCTGGCAGAAGGGTAAAGAGTGCATAGAAGTAGTAGTGGAAATAAGGGCTGTGAAGAAGTGGCTGCACATCCTCCTCATACTGGAATGTGAGCAGCCCACCCCATCTATCTTACTAAGAGGAATCCTCGGAGCTGGGAATGGTATTCTGCTACTCATTGTCTTGTTCCTAGGCCTTCCTTTGTCCATATCAGAGAAGCTCTTCCATTTCCATGAAGCAGGAATGCTGTTCTCTCTGGTAGGGAAGCTGTTCTTGGGTGGAATTCTTGCCTTTGGTCTAGGCTTTTCTGAGTTCCTCTTGGTTTCCAGAACATCTAGCCTCACCCTTTCCATTGCTGGCATTTTTAAGGTAAGGCATGGTTCCTGTGCTAATGCTAGAAGGCAAGTACTGAGTCATCCCTATTGGGCTTTATGTGGTGGGAGCTTGCTTAGATCCTTAGAAGTTATTGCTTTTTATTTTTGTTCTCCTTGCACAGGAGCTTGATGCTTTGCCTTGCAGTCTCTGCAGTGAAGTCTCTTGGTCCCTGGCAGCAAAGGGCCAGAGGCTAGTGGCTGCTCTGTAAAAAATACCATTAATGATCAAAGTTTGTTGGCATGTGGGATAGACTAAAACCCATTGTCCTCATGAGCAGCAGATGGTGTGGAAGAGAGGAGGGGTAAGAAGGGCAAGCTCTTGCATGAGACCTGCATATGACCAAACCACTGGTTTGAGCTGTCTCTGTAACCTAGTTTGGCACATCCTCCCCTCCCCAGAGGAGTCCAGCACACATACTTCTGAGCTCAACTGTGATATATGAAATCTCTCTGATCCAGAAGTTGCAAGATTCCTCTGTAACTGAGCTATGCAGTCAGATGACTTAAAATCCCACATCCTGGTTTGACAGGTTGTTTGTTTCTAGAAACTGTTTTTAGAACTCTGTGCACATGAAAGAATGTGCTGATAGAAATTTAGCAGCCTGACATCTTGATCTAGGCTTCAGCTGAAAAATGTATCATGCATATCTCCTCAGGTCCTGCCCCACCACTTGTCATGTTTTTTTGTTTTGTTTCCACAGGAAATCTGCATTTTATTCCTGGCCACACATTTACTGGGAGACCGCCTCAGCCTCTTGAACTGGCTGGGCTTTGCTGTCTGCCTGTTAGGAATCTCCCTCCATGTTGTTCTCAAAGCCATGAATTCCAAAGGTGATTGTTTTAAACCCCTTTCTCTTTCTTTGTAGGCTTTCTCCTTGCTTCAGTAGGAGCTGTATCTGGTTCCCAGCTCCTTGACAGTGCCAGGTTTGGTGGGAACTCCAGGAGGTTTGTCACTAAACGAGCTGTCTGCATGCAGGTGACAAAGCACTGGAGCCACACAAAGAGGCCAGCTCTGACCCTGACCTGCAGCTGCTGCTGCGCCACCCCGAACAGGGTGAGGAAGAGGAAGAGCTTGTGGAAACCCCACAACAGCACTGACTGGACATGAAGCACAAAGCCACCTGCTCTGTTCTTACCAAACCTGCCTGACAGCTATCCAGGAGGAAGGTCCTGAAGTCTCTGTGACCACCCAAAGCAGAGCCAGGGCCCGGGGAGAGAGTTCTGCTGTTTTGCTGCAGTGTGGATCTGTAGATGCTGCACAAGAAAAGGCAATGTGCCTTTCACAGGAACTTGGAAGCCCTGGTTCAGTGGGTGTAGAAAGGTGAGGTGAGACAGGGAAAAGCTGTAAAAAGTCCATTAGGGCATCCTGAAGGCTGTTTACTGAGAATGTAGACCATGAGCTGTAGAATGAACATGGACATGTCTGGACTGCAGGCTGAGTGGTTCAGGGATGATTTTACTGCTGTTTAGCTTTTGACTTCAAAGGAGAAGGTAGATACACCTTCCCTTTGTTTTTTTAATGTTTCTGCAAATTAGGAACTCTCATCCTTGTGGGATCACATGACTGAATAAATCCCTGGAGTTGCCCCAGCAAGAAGGACCTTTTGTGCCTGGGGACCTCCATGCTCTGTGTGCACAGTGAGGAAAGAATCAATGCTGGTATTTGGGACCAGTTGAAAATGATGAACATTTCCAGATTATGTTGGTTGGAGGAAAGACAGAGATGCAAGAGTACTTCTGGTGCTACAGGCCAAGAGGAGAATGAGCAGTGTCACAGGAAATCTAACTTGAGCAATAAGATTATCAGAAAGTATGTGGGGTTTTCAGGGGGGGATTTTTTGATTTTTAAATAAACTTTTTCTGATTTGATTTTGTCTGTACATTCTGTACCTATGCTCCATTAAGCAGAGGTCATTTGTCTTCTCAGCTCCTTTCCTTTAGTCCTCCACTGACCTTGCTGCTGCATGCCCATAAGGCCTGGCACACACAACACTTGCCCAGCTATCATTCATCTCTAGAATTAGGGAGATGTTCTGCAGCCTCTCAGATTTATGCCAGCCAAGAGAATTTACTGACTGCTCTGCCTTAATGCACCATATCCTAAGAAGACTTTTAGCGTTGTGGCTTTTTGTAAGACTCTTCTCTCTTTGCCCCATTTGATTGGAGCAGGTACTGCTGCAGTCCAGGAAGGGGGAATAGCAGGATTGAAGATGTCCTTTTCATTGCTGCTAAGCCTCAAGTGGTGTTGGGCAGGTGGCTGGTTTTTTGTGTGGCAGAATTTCCACATCTTTCAAAGTTTTGTTCAGTGCTAGCTTTTGTAGTTTTTAGAGTAGAAATAACTTGACAGAGTTTCCCAAAGGGATAACAGTACAGTCTTTCTCATGGCAGGAGCTGGATATTAAAGTGAACTTCTCATATTCTCTTTGAGAGCTTGAGTCATTTTGACTAAACAGTCCCTCTGTTGATCTTGCTTCTTAGTTTTCAGATTTTAAGTCTTTCTTGATGACTTTAATCAAGAGCATGACCTGGTAAAAACTGGTTCTGAAGAAAACTTTAGTTGTTAGTGATCATCTTTGATCACGTTCTGGTAACTGGCTTCACAGCAGACAGCAGGTGGTGCAGCTTCCTCATGTAGAACTGCTGAACCAACACGTCCACACCAGGCTGGCAGACCAAGGGATTTTGTGCATCAAGTGGAATGTCTGGAGCTGAGAATGACTTGCTCTGGCCCTAGCTGTACTTTCCAGTAACTGGGACTTGGGATGCTTCCAGCAGGATTCACCCTGTTTGCCCTGCCAAAGCTGTGAGCTCCAAGCCCAAGTGCTCTGTGCTGGATGTGGGGCAGTGGCACTTCCTGCACATCAGCTGTGTTCCACAGTGTCACAGCTGCTCCTGCATTTCACTTTCCACTCTCCCACAGCTGAACCTTGGGAATGCTTCTGCTGTGTAACTCCCAGACTGAGATTTCATGTCCCTGTAAATCCAAGGTAAAGGCAATTTCATTCTCAGGCCAGAATTTGCACCAGATACGGTGCTTGAAGATGAAATCCAATTGTGCCTGTGACCTGTAGAGCCATGTAGTCTGTTGCTGCCAGCCTTGTTCCTTTTCAAGAGGTGATGCCCTCAAACTCCAGCTCTGTCTTGGAGCTCCTGGAACAGGGCAGAGTTGTGGGCAAGCTTGGGAAGGGTGGGGTGGGACTCTGTAGGGCAGTGCAGCAGAACATTAAAGCAGCACCACAGCTCTGCTGAACACTGTCCATCGTGCTTGAATGGGCACTAAGATTTAAAGAAAGGAGAAAGAACCTTTGCCCACCCTCTCATAATAAGGAAAAAATCCTACTGTGCAGTGAAAATGCTGGAAATGGAAAAAGACACAAAGATGAAGGACTTGGAGGAGGGAGCCAGGAGTGCTGCAGCAGTGGCACAAAATAAATGAGAATGCACAATCCTGTAGTGAGTGTTGAAGTACAGACTGTGGGCATGGAGAAGATTGGAGTCTGCTGAGGATGGAGGTATGGACAGGATGGTGTTGGAAGCTGTGTGTACCAGTAGATCCTGTTTGCCTCTGGAAATAGCCCTGGGTGCCTTTGCAGTGCCTTGGCCAGAGGTAGTCAAGGTCTCTTGGTGCTGCTGAAGCTGTTTGAGGCTTGGATTGGTGCAGTGGGCTTGGGATGGGAAAGCCTGGGAGCCCCCAGCCGGGTGTGCAGGCACAGAGCCTTGTCCCCTGCCTTTCAGAGGTCTCTTGGTGCCACAGTGTGGTCCCTGTGGCTGAGAGGAGTGCTGCAGCTCACTGTGCAGACCATTTTCTGACAAGCCCCAAGCCAGGGGTCACTTTTGGGCACAGGGAAAGTAGTTTTCAGTACAGACAAACATTGTGTGGCACAGTTTGGCTCTGCCCCCTTCCTCAGAGGAAGCGTGTGGAGGCTGAATGTCCTGGAAGCGCTCTGGAGCAGGGCAGTGCCAGGGACACACGTGCTGCAGCAGCACAGGGGAGGGCTCAGGGCTGTGTTTGTGCTGCCCTGTCTGTGCCAGCCCCTCACCAGCACAGCCACCCTGGCAGGGGAGGGCTGCCATTCAATATTAATGGTGTTTGAGCTCATTAAGCAGCGGAAGCAAAGCTGAATGAGTCTCAGAAGTGCTGCACTCCTTCCTCAAACTCTGTTCCTGCCTGTAAGACCAGGTGTTTACATGTGTGATGATTCTGCCTCCCCACACATCCCCCTGGGAGACCTCTTTATTTGAAGAACAGATGCTTGGCTTCCTGCTAAAATTTCAATACTGTAAACATCCTGGGGGCGAGGAGAAAGTGTCCCTGCAGACCCCCTGCACTCCTCTGGTCCTCTGCCCAGCAAACAAGGTGTGTGACACCAGTGGGCTTGCTGTGGGGAAGCAATCCTGTCTCCAAAACACACAGGAGCAGCAAGACAGAGCAGCAACATGGGGCCTGGTGCCAGCAGTAGGGATGCCTCAGGATGTGCTTCGTTTCTCATTTCAGCTGAACATCTCTGTAGGATTAATTACATGGTTTGTGGTTGGTGCTTGTGAGGTGGGGAAGGGGGAGCTCAGGGTGTAGATGGGAGGAATGCAGGTTGCTGCCAGCCTGGGGCTTTAAAGGGCTCACATTCTTCTGCAGTCTCTGCAGTGGTAAATAACTGCCTCTGACTCTGATACCCCTGCTGCTGCACTGAGGCTGTCTTGGTTTTTCTCCTTGCTGGGGCATGCAGATTTTGATGTTCCCAGCCTTGGATCTCTGCAGGGTTTTTCTGGGAATTGCACTTTCCATTGTCCTCTTTCCATCATTGCCACAGTACACCAGCATCAGCCCCTTCCTCACTGCCACATCACCCCCAGGAAGGCAAAGAATGGGGGAGGCTTTGAGCAGAGAGGTGGGGAAAGGCAGCTGGGCAAGAGAAGTGTAGGAATGACACAAGACAAAGAATATGAATGGTTGGAGATCACCAACACAGCATGGTTCAGGTTGGAAGGCACATGGGAGGTCATCTTGCCCAAGTCTTTGCTGAAGCAGAGCCAGCCAGAGCTGCTGCCCAGGAATGTGTCCTGATGGCTTTGAATATCTCCAGGGATGGAAACTCCACAACCGTTCTGAGCACCCTGTGCCAGTGTTCAGCCACCCTCAGGGAAAAAGTGGTTCCTGATGTTCAGGGGGGACCCTCCTGTTTCAGTTTCTGTCTGTCTCTGGGCACCACTGAACAGAACCTGGCTCCATCCTCCTTCCACCCTCTCATCAGGTATTTATTGACACTGACAGATTTCCCCCTGAGCCTTCTCCAGGCTCAGCAGTCCCAGCTCTGTCAGCCTTTCCCCAGATGTGAGGTGCTCCCAAGCCCTTCATAACCTTCATGGCTCCTTGGTGGACTCCAGCATATCCGTGTGCCTTGTAGTGATGAGCCCAGCCCCGGGCACAGCGCTCCAGGTGTGGCCTCCTGGAGGAACGGCTCCTTGGTGGACTCCAGCATGTCCATGTGATGAGCCCAGCCCCGGGCACAGCGCTCCAGGTGTGGCCTCCTGGAGGAATCCCCTCCTTGACCTGCTGGCAGTTCTTTACCTGAGGCAGCCCAGGGTGTCCTTCCCTCCTTTGTGGCTCTTCACTCAGGTGAAGGTGCAGGTGTGCAGCAAGAACCTGCCCAGTCTGACACTGCAAGAGGTCTGCTGGGGCAGAGAGCTGTCCTACAACACCTACGGCGGCACAAGGAGCCCCTTCCATCTCATTTTGTGCTCTCCAGCCTTGTCGAGCTGTGTAATTGCTGTATCTATCAGTGCTCCCTGCATTAACAGGCGGTAATTGGCACCTGTGTTAAAGAGCCTGGTTTCAATTACTGCTGAATGCAGCTCAAACTCCGGAGCTGGGCGATTACAGGGGGGAGGAGCTGTGGCGCTCACGTTTACGCTCTGTTTTTCCACCAGGTGCTCCTCTTTCCCCAGGGATGAAGCTTTTCCCCGTTTCTTGCTTGTGCCTTGACTCTGCAAAGCAGCCAGCAAAGGCTGCCTGGGAGGCGTGGGGCTGTGCCCCTCAGGAGCACAGAGCCCAGCTCTGTTCTTCCTCCTCTGCATGTTTCTTACAGCAGCCTCTGCTGCAAATCCTGCCCAGGGTTGCAAGGTGTGGGAGGAAATCAGTCTTTGTAGGTTTTTGTGTTCCCCCAGCCCCATGCAGCAGCAGTCCTGGGGGTTTTCCCATTCCCTGCCCTCACCCACCCCTCTCTCTCTCTGGTTTCCAGTGCTTCAGCACTCCCCTGTGTGCCGAGCCTGCCCCCTCCTGCTGCCATTCATCATTTCTGATCCAATAAATTACAGCGCCGTAAAAATGCACAGGGAATTGTTTTCTGTGTTATAGAGCCATGAGCCCTTAAATTTCCATTTGTTCAGCGGTTGATGAATGGACAGTTGTGGCTGGTGATGTCTGGTGCTGGAGTGATGGGAGAGCTCTGGCTGCAGTCAGGGCTCCCTCCTGCAGCCTCAGCACCAGAGGCCTCACTGGTTGTGAGGCAATATCTGTCTGGGGCTCCCCTTCCCAGAAAACTGCTCAGTTCAGAGCTGGGGTCAAGGGAGGGGTTTGGAGAGGCTAAGTCAGAAATTCAGGATTTGTTCCCAGCCTGTGGTGGGAGTTTTATCTGGGAGGGAGCTGCTGGGTGGGATGCCAGGGTAAAAAGTTGTGCTGCAGAAGCAGGACTGGGAGTCTGGGGCCCATCAGCTCCTGAAGGACTGGTGCAGATAGTGGGTAGGAGCCTGACTTCAGGAAATGGGGATAAAGGGAGAAACTCGGCTCAGTGTGAGGGCAGTGGAACAAGGAAGAGGACTGGGATAGTTGGTACAAATTCAGGTCTGGCTACAGGTATATGGGGAAAGGCTGT